AGGTTTTGAATCCTCTCCACTGCATTTAGATAGGGATGTTGGAGGAGACAGTCTGACCCAGGGTGTTGCAGCTGCTTGCCCACACTCAAAACAGGATATAGACTCTCAGGAAACAGATGATCTGGTGAAGTGGCTCCTCCTCCAGCTTCTGGAAGGGGAGAGGAGGCGCAAGGAGGCAGAGAAAAGGCGGGAGGAGGCAGAAATAAACTTTCAGCAATTTCTCCTGGAGTTGGAAAAGAGAGCTAACAAGTTGGCTCTGAGCTCCCAGGTCAGACCTGGAGAAGCACTCCACCCTCATGTAACTTCTCCAGACCACATAGAGTCATCGTGCTCATTCTGGATACACATTCAGAGAGTGTATCAGTGGCTGAAAGACCAGTGGCCCCTACGTATGAGTCTGTGTCTCCCAAGGCAAGTCCAAGAGACTCATTGCAGTGAGGTAAGTGAGGCTGAGCACTATGCAGAAATGTATCGGTACAGGTTTAGGGAGTACAGATTCCAGGAGACAAAGGGACCCCAGGAGGCTTACGTTCAATTATCCGAGCTGTGCCACAAGTGGATCCAGCCCAAAAGCAAGAGTGCAGCATGGATTGCTGACCTGCTAATCATAGAGCAGTTCCTGGAGATCCTCCCACATGATGTTCAGACATGGGTTAGGAGGAACAGGCCAGACACTGGGAGTAAGGCTGTGTCCTTGGCAGAGTACTTCTTGGCCATAAAGGAGCATGCTCAGTGCTCAAAACTGGTAAGGCCTCCAGGATGTCCTGTGAGGGAGAAATGTAGGGCTGGAAAAGCAGGTAGTGGGATTATGACTTCAAGGACCACAAATGCACTTTCTTAAGAGAAACTGGGCAGCTTGCACACATGGTCACATAGCCCTAGGGTGACCAGATGTCCCAATTTTATAAGGACAGTCCTGATTTTGGGGTCTTTTTCTTATATAGGCTCCTATTACCCCCCACCCCCTGTCCTGATTTTTCACACTTGCTGTCTGGTCACCCTACATAGCCCTGAGCATATGCTGCACTGTGGGTGGAGGGGTGGGGATTGGCTTAGATGCTCTCATCCCTGTGACACATGAGGCAACCCAGGGGTGACACATGAGGCAACCCAGGGGTGCCACATTTCTTGCTCCATGGTAGTCTGTTCTATGACAGCAACATCTGTGTCAATAGTTTTCTTATATGTCATCTGCTCTTCTCCTCATTTCCATCTTCCACCAAGTGGTGTCCAGTCAAGGGCTTATCTAGGAATATGTTTTTTCTAGGGCTGTCAATCACAGTTAACTCACACGATTAACTCAAAAAAATTAATCTTGATTAAAAAGATTAATCGCAGTTTTAATCACACTGTTAATAGAATACCAATTGAAATTTATTAAATATTTTGGATGTTTTTCCACATTTTTATATATATTGTATTCTGTGTTGTAATTGAAATCAAAGTGTATATTTTTTATTACAAATAATTGCACTGTAAAAATTCAGTTCACCTCATACTAATACTATAGTGCAATCTCTTTATTGTGAAAATGCAACTTACAAATGTAGATTTTTTTGTTTGTTACATAACTGCACTCAAAAATAAAACAATGTGAAACTTCAGAGCCTACAAGTCCACTCAGTCCTACTTCTTGTTCAGCCAGTCGCTAAAACAAACACATTTATTTACATTTACAGGAGATAATGCTGCCCTCTTCTTCTTTACAATGTCACCAGAAAGTGAGAACATGCATTTGCATTGCACTTGTGCAGCCAGCATTGCAAGGTATTCATGTGCCAGATATGCTAAACATTTGTATGACCTTTCATGCTTCGGCCACCATTCCAGAGGACGTGCTTTCATGCTGATGACGCTCGTTAAAAAAATAATGCATTAATTAAATTTGTGACTGAACTCCTTGGGGGAGAATCGTATGTCCCCTGCTCTGTTTTACCCACTTTCTGCCATATATTTCATGTTATAGCAGTCTCAGATGATGACCCAGCACATGTTGTTCACTTTAAGAACACTTTCACTGCAGATTTGACAAAACGCAAAGAAGGTACCAATGTGAGATTTCTAAAGATAACTACATCACTCAACCCAAGGTATAAGAACCGGAAGTGCCTTCCAAATCTAAGAGGGATGAGGTGTGGAGCATGCTTTCAGAAGTCTTAAAAGAGCAACACTCCGATATAGAAACTACAGAATCTGAACCACCAAAAAAGAAAATCAACCTTCTGCTGGTGGCATCTGACTCAGATGATGAAAATGAACATGCGTTGGTCCACACTGCTTTGGATTGTTATTGAGCAGAACCCGTCATCAGCATGGATGCATGTCCCCTGGAATAGTGGTTGAAGCATGAAGGGACATGTGAATCTTTAGCGCATCTGGCATGTAAATATCTTGAAACGCTGCCTACAACAGTGCCATGAGAACACCTGTTCTCACTTTCAGGTGACACTGTAAACAAGAAGCAGGCAGCATTATCTCAAACTTGTTTGAGCGATTGGCTGAACAAGAAGTAAGACTGAGTGGACTTGCAGGCTCTAAAATTTTACGTTTTATTTTTGAATGCAGTTTTTTGGTACATAATTCTATATTTGTAAGTTCAACTTTCATGATAAAGAGATTGCACTACAGTACTTGTATTACGTGAATTGAAAAATTCTATTTCTTTTTTTATAGTACAAACATTTGTAATAAAAAATAAATATAAAGTGAGCACTGTACACTTTGTATTCTGTGTTGTAATTGAAATCAATATTTGAAAATGTACAAAACATCCAAAAATATTTAAATAAATGGTTTTCTATTATTATTTAATGGTGCGATTAATCACAATTAATTTTTTTTCATCGCTTGACAGCCCATGTCTTTTCACATCTGTACAGTATACCCAAACACCTTAAGCCTTATTTCTCAAATCATTGTCCCTACTGTCTGTTGGCCAGTCCTTTGAAACACATCAGCATTGTTACTTTATCCCACCAGTGGACACCAAGTACTCTCTGTAAGCATCTCTTATGTAATGCGTTAAGGTTCCTGTTGCCAAGTTTCTGAAGAATATAACCTTGTGGGTATCACAATGACATTGTATAACTTTATCTTGGTTCTTACGTGAATCTCCTTACTTTTCCAAATCCAATATCAATGTCAAATATGGGGAGTCAGTAATCAAGGTGCTTCTGTGATTGACATGACAATTCAACATGACAAACAAGTATGCTTCTGAGATAGACAATCAGTGTTGATGGCCAGCTCAACCAGGAAGTGGAAGCAAGAACTGGAAAGGCGTGTGGAGTTTTTTTATTTATTTATTTATTTATTTATTTATTTGATAAATATGTGGAGAGGTGGGGGTTGTTCAGGGAATCAGGATGTGGGGTAGTATTTGGAAATCCTTCACTGACTGTAAGTGTTGTATAAAGGCAGGGAACGTGAGAACTAGAGAGGGGGTTGTGGAGGGAAGAGGGCTGTTGGTGCTAAGGAGTATTCTGTCACGAGGGTCTGTTGAAATGGAAAGGAGATTGACCTCTTTGATTTTTATCACCCTGACAACCAATCTTTTTCCAGGGATTCTAGGGCCATGGAGTACCAGAAACAGTTATGTGGATAAGCTTATAGAGAGCTAATCAGTATACCGGGGCACAAGGTAGGGACCAGAAGTAGTGTGCTTAGCAATACCCAACTGTTAAATAATGTTGACCTGCCTTACAGGGGTGGTGGAGAGGCTTAATGTTTGTAAAGCATTCTTGTCAGCCTCTCATTGGAATCTCTGTAATGCTTGATAATAAGACATGCCAGGAGGAAGACAATTAAATTTCTATCCTAGATTTCTTTTTTTCCCCCCAACCCACAAATTTTCAAATGCAAACCCCCTCTCCTACTTTAATGGTAAAACTTTAATCACTCAAGTGAGGAAAGAGTTATGGTTCCCACAGCAACAATATTAATATTCCATACTGGTGTGTGCACAGTTGCTATGGAAACCATAACTCTGAATTTCCTGATTTGAGACTAAAATCCCTATTTTACAGTTGCCTAAAACCTATTCCACTCTTCCCCTACACAGCTCTGTTGCTGCTCCTATTCCGGACCCTAGAGCCTTTGGCCACTCACAGTCCTCCATTTCTGTGATTCTATAAGGGACCTCAGGAAGTTGTCTAATCCAGCCCCCCAACCTCCTGTCTTTCTGGGGCAGGATTTAAGTATACCTAGACAGCAGGTTGGGAGTTTGACAGGTTAGACAATGATGGGGATTCCACAACCTCCCTTTCAACCTATTCTAGTACGCAATACTTGGTTAGAAAATTTTTCCTAATATCTCCCTTGCTGCAAATTAAGCTGATTACTTCTTGTCCTTCCCTTGATGGACATGGAAAACAATTGCGTGTTGTCCTCTTCGTAACGACCTTTCACGTATCTGAAGACTTAGCATATCCTCCCTCAGCCTTCTCGAAACGAAATATGCCCAGTTGTTTCAACCTTTCCTCAGAGATCAGGTTTTCTAAACTTTTTATAATTTTTATTGCTGCCCTCTGGACTGCTCCAGTTTGTTCACATCTTTCCTAAAGTGTGGAGTCCAAAACTGGACACAATTTTCTGGATGAGTTTTCTGGCCAGTTTTGAGTAAAGCAGAACAATTCCCTTCCATGTCTTACAACCAACATTCCTGTTAATACATCCCAAAATGACATTTGCCTTGTTCACAACAGCATCACATTGTTGACTCATATTCCATTTGTGACCCACTGTAACCTCCAGATCCTTTTCAGCAGTATTGCAGCCTACTCAGTTATTCCCTGTCTTGTATTTCTGCATTTGATATTTTTCCTTCCTAGGTGCAGTCCTTTGCACTTCTCTACATTGAATTTTATCTTACTTATTTCAGACCAGTTTTCAAAGTGATGTTGACAAATTGGTATTCTAATCCTGTCCTCCAATGTGCTCGCAGCCCCTCCCACATTCAATCTGTGTCCATCTCTCAAATATGTTCTCTGCTTGTTTTTCAGGGACTGGAGTCTCCCTACACAAATGGAGCCTATGGCGCACCTGGGGCTGCTCCACACTATGCTAATCTGCCACAGTCAAACACTTACTATTCTGGGCACTCTCGGGCCTCCTACCCGGCAGAGTCTCCGAGCATGTACCGACCGCCATCGGCAGCCTCGCATTGGCATTATCCCCCACCAGACTGCCCCCCGGAAGGCCCCTCTCTCAGGAGGCAGGCCCCAGGATACTCCCCACCACCGGTAAGGAAGCTAGTACAAGAAATACATGCTTCCTTTGGGAATATGCTTGGGGCTGGTGTGAGTACAACTCAGCTCACTATTGGATATAGCCCTTCTGGAGCAAAGGTTGGCATATGCTTGCCTAAGGGCAGCCTGCCCCTGCAGCTATCAGCCATTCAGGTCTGAGCCCTAGAAGTGCACTACTTAGCTGGTGCTCCTGGCTCCAGCACGGGAAATGTTTATCCTGAGGCTCATCTCATGCCCCAGGTCTCTCATCTCTTGCAACATAGCCCAGTATCTTGACTGACACTGTGCTGACTTAGACTGCAGCTAAACTACATAAATGACCAAGAGATCCAGCCATGCCCACTCTTATAAAGATGTGTAACCACTCCCTTGGCCTAGGACTTATAATTAATAGGCTGACATGTCAGAGCCAAGGTAGCTGGTCTTTGTGGCTCTTCACAAGGAGTGTTTAGTAGGAGTGGAGAAGCACGTCAACAGGTATTTTCAATGACTGAATGAACATGACTTTGAAGGTACTACCTTCATTTCCCTCTTCCTGCAGACCCCAGGTATGCCTGTCCCACACTATCCATATGGAGGAGATACCAACCCTGGCATTCCACAGCAAGGGCCACCACCACAACCAAGACCCCAGGATGAATCGTGGGCTTCCTCTGGCATCTATGGAATGCAGCCACGTTACGCCTGGCCTGCTGCTTCGACACCCCAAGGAAGTCCATTTGTTTCAGAATCCTCTCCATCCTGGCCTGGCAATGGAGCCCCTTCTCCTCATCCTCCAGCTCATGATACAAAGGTAAAGATTTAATGCTTTCAAGATTCTTTGACACTTTCTGGTGCCTATCTTAACCCAGCCATGTGGGCCACTGCACAGCAGTGCAAAAATCCCTTCACCAGAAGCTAAGCGTGCTGCTTTTACAGTGCTTCTAGCTCCCGCTGGTGCAGGGAAGAAGAGATCTTGCTTGGAAATCCAATCCTGTTTAGTATTTACGTACTGCTTTTACAACTTCCGAACGCTGTACAAGGCTAAATAATTGTAGAGTGAGTCTGTCAGTCAGGGTGAGCTCTCTGACTGCAGGTCTGTGATCAGACCACTAGACTACACTGCCTCCCTGAAAAACACATGTATTTTTCATTTCTTTGAAGTGCTTCCACCTTTCTCCCCCTCTGTTAAAGCAATGGGTTCATACTACATAGAAACAAACTAATAAAAACTAGGAATTCTCATAATATTTTAGATCCATTAACTTGGATATCCATAAATAATATCCAGAGTTATACTTAATGCAAAAAACTAAAGGGAGGTATTGGAGGGGATATCAGATCTCATGCTCCAGGTCTTAAAACAGTCTCTCATTAGTAGGGATTAGGATGAGACCTTTATGGGGGGCAGATCATCCCATATCTGCGTGCTGCAGGGTTTCTTGCATCTTCCTCTGAAGCATCTGGTGCTGGTCACTGGGAGCCAGGAGACTGGACTAGAAGGACCTGTCCTGAGCCACACGCAATTGCTGTGTTCCTGTCCAAGTGAACTCCTGGGCACAGGAATCCTTTATTAGAGACTTTACTAAAAATTAATGTTGTGGGAATAACAGATTCTGTTCCTTCCTAGTCTCACCATTCTCCTCTTTACAGTTAGAGGCCCTGGCTACACCAGGATCAGATCTCTGGAAGGTACAACTGTGTTGACAAAGTATTTGCTAGCAGGGTTCTAATGTGGAGGGATAGCTCAGTGGTTTGAGCATTGGCCTGCTAAACCCAGGGTTGTGAGTTCAGTCCTTGAGGGGGACACTTGGGGATCTGGGGCAAAAATCAGTACTTGGTCCTGCTAGTGAAGGCAGGGGGCTGGACTCAATGACCTTTCAAGGTCCCTTCCAGTTCTAGGAGGTGGGATATCTCCATTAATTATTATTTTTATTATCAATAGCATGGCCATGAATTTGTCATCTGGGAATAGTTATAAAATTGTGTAATACACTCCATTTCCAGGGAGTGTATATCTCTCATGATCCTCTGAAATACATCCATACTTACCAGAGGAATTGGGCTAGAATCCTGCTAGCAAATATCATGGTTAAACATAGCTGTAGCAAGCATAATCCTGACCCGACTGTGGACTATTTCACAGCTGTCGCATTGTCATTCTGCAGACACAGAGTTTTGTGAACCAGATGTGGTTCCTCTAACTAGTTTGTTCTTAAATAGGTCAAAGACTTGAGCACTAGCTGTCTCTGAGTATTCCTTCTTTGGCTTGTTTATTGGCAGCAATGCTTATGTAAGAAGGTTATGTGAGTTTCACGTTATTAGGTCACAGCATATTATGACATCAAGGTGGATGACAGTCTCAAAGTGCAGGCCTCATTCTGAGTAACTTCCATTGCCTGAACCCTTTTTGCACTGCCATCCTGGGCATGCTGCACATCTTCCAAATGAGCAGGGAGGCAGACTGGCTCTGCTGCTCAGAGATCTGCTTGCATTCCCTCTTTGATGCAGGATGTGGGATAAGAAAACTGATGTTGAAGGAAACACATTTTAAAACCTCTGCTTGTTTCTGATTTAGGATACTACTTATGACAAACCAGACCAAGGAGCAAACCACAACAACTACTTCCCAGAAGTCAATCATCAGCCCTCTGGGACTATGAATGATCATAAGTCAACTCAATTCAACACCAAACCATCCCATTTCAATCCCAAAGTGCAATACAGTGCACAGCCCCAAATGTATGATAATGTACCTAGGAAACCACCTTTGAACCAGGATGCAGGTTTTAAACCCAGCGACCAGCCTTTGTCAAAATCCCTGGGAATGCAGGCAGGGATTCAAAGAGTTATGCAAGTTATGGAGGAGGTCGAGGAGTTGGAGCAAGAGGTGGATGAATTTGTAGGAAAAAAGACAGACAAAGCATACCGGCTCCTGGAGGAAATGCTGACCAAGGAGCTGTTGGAACTGGATTCCATAGAGACTCGTGGCCAGGACAATGTTCGACAGGCTAGGAAGGAGGCTGTTCATAGAATCCAGGCCATACTGGAAAAACTGGAAAAAAAGGGATTGTGAAAGACAGATGGTAACAACTCAAGGCCTGCTATGGACAGCCCAAAGCGCTCTGGTTAGGCTTAATTCTCAGCCTGCTTCTAACTACTTCGTTGACCACGAAAAGCAATAAAGTCTGACTATACTTTAATTTTTTTTAAACCCAAAAATGATAAATTGGCTGTGGACGAATGAAGGCAGGATTGAAACATCAGTCCTGAATTTTCAGGTGGTTGTTCCAGGCCAACGAATGTACAGACAACTATGGAATTCTGACACTGCCAAACAAAGTGCTTTTGCCTGTGTGGGTGTCTACGTGCTTTTCATCAGCAGGAGAGGAATCCGTTGTATGGAACAGACTTTTCTGTACTAGGCCAAATGTGTGTCTGTAGATGCCACCTGCTGCCCCATGGCTTCTTAAACAGCTGGAATTTGTTAGTTACAAAGGCATTGCCACACACAGCAAGTACAACAAGACTTCAGGCTCTTGGACCACTATTCTTGTGTATTATTTACAGCTTTATCACTCTAGTCATTGAGATTGATGTGTATTGTTCTGTGTCTTTTTGGTGCACGCTGTAGTACTGTCTTGAAGTACTGGTGGAAGAGACCATATTAGGTCAATATGGCAACTTCACACTGTTTTCTTCTATATATTGAAGAGCTATTCAGTGATGTTTTATGTGGGGGAGCGGTAATAAGGAACACAATTGGGAGCTTTTGAATTCTGCCTCTAAAAAGGCAGTGGTGCAAATGAGAGATGGCGGCATGATCCTAGGAAGTGAAACATTTGAAAATGATTTTTCATGGCAAATTGGGGTAAAAATCCACTTTTTAATTGTAACGTCCTTTCACATAATGCAGTTTTGTATTCCACTATAATCTGCATAACTGGTGGTTCTGTACAGTGCACTGTGGAGGGGAGAGGTAAATCATCTGCCTTTAACTGGGGGGCTACCACATCTGAAATTAAGTAGTCATTACTGTGTATGACAAGAGAAAATAAACTCTGGCAAGTTTTAAACATCATTTTGTACTGATAAGAAGTTGGAAGTGACTTTCTTTAAAGTTTGTGTGAAACTATAAATGGAACCTGTTGTAACCAAAGCACCATACCTGGAATTCTGTCCTTGCAGCAGAGCCTCATGAGACAAGGCAGCAAGTGGCATGGAAATGGTGATATTCGTGATGTTGAAAGGGGGTTGGTCCTACTTTTGAGATGGCTTGGAGCAGACCAGTTCTGTGAACTCTTTAGCCTTTTGCTCCTGGAACAATGACCCCATTTTCCTGAAGCCATCCAGCCTGGCATTCTCTATGCTGCTAGTCAGTGCAGTGGAAGATGTATGTCTGCAGATTCTACATCCTTAGCGCACCTGAATTCTGCTGGATGGTACTGACCTCTCCAAGCGTTCGGATCCATCCTCATAATCATGCATGTGGTTGGCAGTCTAGAAAATGTACTCTGGGCTAATCCAGAAGAGCAGAATAATCAGTCTGGGCCAATAAATGTTTTGGATTGGAGGACCGTGTTTAATAGCAATCAATGCCTCCTATCAGGCAGAGACCAACCAGGCCTAGCTAATGCTGTTTGGGAAATAAAGTTGAATCTGATTCCAAAGAGCAGAAGCTATGCTCTAGCTCGTCACTATATTGTAAGCAGCCTCCAGTTCTATGCTAATATAAGCGGGGAGATCTGGTTACAAGGACTGAACGTCTGCAGGAAGTAATGGTACATCATTAATGAATTAAACAATGGTTGATGCTACCAGTGCTTCTGAGAATTAATGTTATCCTAGTTTAACACCGACAGACTCCAGAATCTGGGACCTCTGAAGCTTAGTGCGTGAGCCTCTACAGCATGAGCTAAAAGCCAACTGGCTGTTAATCTAAGGTTGTAGAGCAGACTCATTTGATCTCTAAGTGGTCTCGGTGCCACTAGATAGGACAGAACACCACACCCAGAAGGTGTGTGGGTTACACTAGCACTTCCTCTCACCTGCATGCTTCATAGCAGAATATTTTTTTTATATGTGTGAGAAGTTTACCAAGTAACTACCATTGCTGTCGCAGTTAGTTATTTTCCCTGGAGGAGCTGAGAGAGAAACACCTATTTGTTCTGGGCATTTGTGCTCCTTTAATTTAGTGCACAGTTTAAATACCCTGGTGCTAGGAATGTTAAATCCTTAGTGCAATTGCTGTTGGATCCTAGCTGTGTCTCTATAATGTGCTTAAAATTTTCCCAGAAGTTACTGCTTCAGGCTCACAGAAGAAATCTAAGATTTAGCAGAAACTGTGTTTTTGAAAGGGAACATGAGTATCGGTACAAAAGTTCCAGGAAGGAAAAGGCTTCTTTGCTAAGATGAAGTTAGCGAGACAAAAATTGTACAGAAAAATACTCCACTTGCTGTAACCTTACAAAATTAATGGCATAGCTTAGCTCCTCTTCCTCAAATTCTCTGGTGACCTAGAGTAGCGCAGTCATTGTACAGGCTGAGGAACCTGCAGCCTCCTCGCTAGAAGTAAAATGGTCAAAACAGTCTAGTGACTTATGTAAATTAATGTAACTTTGCCGAGCAACTTTTCATAGAAATGTAGGGATGGAAGGGACCTCAAGAGGTCATCAAGTCCAGCCCCTGTGCTGAGGCAGGACGAAGTAGACCTAGACCTGAGAGGTGTTTGCCTAACCTGTACTTAAAAATCTCCAGTGACGGGGATTCCACAATGTCCCTCGGAAGCCTATTCCAGTATTTAACCTCTGATAACTACTCTTTGAGTATGGACTTTCAACCAGTTATATACCCACCTTATGGTAATTTCACCTAAACCATATTTCCCTAATTTCATTATGAGAATGTCATGGGGGACTGTGTCGAAAGCTTTACTAAAATCAAGATATCACCTATATTGCTTATCCATTAGGCCAGTAAGCCTGTTAAAGAAGGAAATTAGATTGCGGGGGGGGGGTTGCATGCTTTTGTTTGGCATATCCATGCTGATTAAATTGGTTGTTTAATAATTTGTTCCAGTATCTTTCCAGGTATCAAAGTTAAGCTGACTGGCCTAGAATTCCCCAGGGCCTCTTATGTTCCCTTTTTTAAAGATAGTACTACGTTTGCCCTTTCACCCTATGCAACGTCATCTGTCCTCCATGAGTTCTCAAAGATAATCGCTAACGATAACTTTTGTTCCCTCTGACCATAGGCTTTAAAAGCTTTCTTCCATCAGCTAATTAAACACTAATTATATCAACCACTCAAAAGAAATGAAGAGTTAAGGCTGAGCTCAAACTCCTTGTGACTAATGAGGATTTAAGATGGTGGCATTCTCCTTCTTCTTAGGTCTGAGGTTTTGCCTGTGCATCTTGCATCATTCTGACTTTGTTAAATTAACTGTGGGCAGTGGGCTTGACCATGTTCTCCTGAGCACCTGCCATCTACGCTGTGGAGTTACGCCATGTGGGCTGTTCAACGCAACATTGTTTTCTTTGCAGTGAACCCCTCCCTGTCCTGTGTGTTAACACCCACCTTACTACCTTCCAAAAAGGGTTATGCATGCCTGCTGAAATGTCCCCTAAAAATGATTTTCAAAATAAAAGTCCCCATTGGACATAAGACTACCTGCTTCATTGAGTTATGCAGCTTAGACTAACAATGTGTGGCATTTATGTCTTATCAATATTAATCTTCACAGGTGCCCCATGTGAGGAAGATGAATATTATCATTATTTAAGCTTGCAGAGGGCTCAGGGAGATGGGACACAATTTGAATAGATCCTAAAGAATCCCGACCCCCAGTACTGTGCTCTAACCGTTCCCTTTTCATGCGTTATTTAGTTTTTTTTAATTGGGGGAAAGATATTAGTCTCTGAGTTGCTCAAGTGCAGAAGCACTGTGAAGACAAGCTGGGCTTTAAAACATTCTGGCTTATGACTAGCTAGAAAACAGAAGTGCCCATTAAGTTACTTAGTGCTAGCGAACACTTTGAAAAGCAGTTTCAAAGTGATGACATCATAACGATGACAACATGGAACAGAACACTAAGCTCATCAAGAAGTCAGGGAGTGGAAATCCAAGAGACTTGCAAAGTCTATGTTTTCAGTCTCCTCTCCTGCCACTCTGTACCCTTGTGCCTGTGCTGCAAAAAGGCTCACTTTATGAACAGTGCCTGAAAGAGGAGTGATACAGAACATACCAGGAGGGGAGAACACTTATCTTTTTTCAGAATGATTTGAACATAGAGATGGGTGAACAAGAAATGGACAGAGGATTTCTTATGTGTTACGATTATTTTAAATGTAGTTAAGCTTAGTGATGGGAGAGGAAGCCTCACTATCTCAGAGCCTTGCGTATCCTCTGAGCTCAGCTTTTATTAGGCCCCAATTCAGTATAGTATTTAAGCAGATGTTTGTGCTTTACTGAATAGGGATGGAACTAAATGCACACTTAAACCATCTGATTAAGTTTCATTAAAGTCAATGAAACTGAAGCATATGATGACTTGCTTTGCCGAATGGAGGGCCCTCATTATTCATCTGAATCCAAGTGAAAGCAGTTGGTGCATGAAGTTATAGCTCTGAAATGCATACACAGTTATGGAAATAAGACTGGATTGTTTCTCAAGAATAGGCATAGAGGGTTTTTTAAAATAACATGGTTTTAGAATTGTAGCTGCACCTCAGCCTTTGTGCTGCTTTTCTCTGAGGATACTGTATTTTAAGTGTAAGCTCTATAGCAGTTAGTTATTTACAGGTAAGTGATGAGATGAAGCTGTGATTAGATTCAATAAGAATTTGAGATTCACTGAACTTACTCTTTAGCTTCTGGTTTCCTTTTATTAAAAGCCACATTAAGAACAAAATTGCTGTGCCTCCTACAGTCCAATTTCTTTAATAGTGATTTCCAGAATTCTCTCACTTGGTATGCAACTTGCATCTGAAGAAGTGAGGTTCTTACCCACGAAAGCTTATGCTCCCAGTACTTCTGTTAGTCTCAAAGGTGCCACAGGACCCTCTGTTGCTTGGTATGCAACTGTTAGTCACCAGTCAGCTTTAACTGAAGATTTCTGATAACACAGAGGATCATAGAGCAATCCTGGACTGCCTCACCAGCTAATAGATAACATAACAATGTGGTGAGCCAGTGCTGAAGAACAACATACACATTCAAAACTGCTTTATAATCTGCGGTGCTCTATGGACTGGGACAAAGGTTTACTACCGCTGACACGGGGCAAGAATTACATCAGTCTATACCGGGGTAGGCAACCTATGGCATGTGTGCCAAAGGCGGCACGCAAGCTGATTTTCAGTGGCACTCACACTGCCCGGGTCCTGGCCACCGGCCCGGGGGGCTCTACATTTTAATTCAATTTTAAATGAAGCTTCTTAAACATTTTAAAAACCTTATTTACTTTACATACAACAATAGTTTAGTTATATATTATAGACTTATAGAAAGAGACCTTCTAAAAACTTTAAAATGTATTACTGACACACCAAACCTTAAATTAGAGTGAATAAATGAAGACTTGGCATACCACTTCTGAAAGGTTGCCAACTCCTGGTCTATACATTCCAAGGGAACAGTCCAAGAATGTGCCTGGTATTTGGGAGTCAAAGTCAGAGGAGGAGATGGGGCTTTTTCTTTTTTAAATTAAAAAGCTGAACCACCAACAAAAATGATAGGTAATGTGGCCTGAAAACCAATATTGGTTGTAATTGCCTGTGTGAATGTGGCTGAATAGATATTAGCTAGCCTTTTAGAAGATGATGCCCTTTTCTAGGGTTGTAACCCACTGCGTGTGACTTTACAAAATTCAGTGGAAAGGTTTGGAGGAGGAGGAGTGTAGTATTCATACCGAAACACAGGTAAGGGGAATTAAAATGCCCTGTTTAAAAAAAGGGCTGAAATGTTAGTTTATCCTTTCAGCAAGCTTAGTTACTGAACAGCTCTGTGGAAAGGCGTTATTGGTAGATTACACTCTTAGCCAAATAGCAGCATGCCTTTATCCATCGGACAGATGGCAGCTTT